GCAAGGCAGTCCCTCAGCCACAGCTAGCCAGAGGGACACTGAGGACTTGGTTTCTCTTGTGGTCCTTTCTTAATATCTAAGCAATGATGGATCTTGGGCCTCACCCAAGCAGAAGTTCCAATACTGTAATTTGTAAAAGATTTAATGGTTCAGACACAGCCCAGCTGCTAGAGACACATCCTATCTATGAACAGATGGACTCCTATTAAATGTGAGAGATTAATTCTAGCCTGGTTATGAAAGAGATTCACAGATTTGACCTGAGGGTGCTCTTCAAAACTTTAGACAGCATGAATATAACCTGGCCCACACAGGAAAGGAAAAAATTCCTTTTTTAACTTTTTTTAATGTCTAAGACCTGTGCCATGATTGCAGGTCCTTTGTGCCTCATGACTATTCAATAGCAGCCAATATGCTGTTGCCCTCTGATCATGGGCCAAGCAAGAGACGTGTGGCAACACTTTACTGAAAATTTCCAAAACCCTGTTAGCTCAGCACTTGAGTCATGCAGTGTAGTTAGATAACAAAGTATGTTTACATATACCTGTAGGGAAGAGCCTGCTAAAGCAAAGATCATGCCTTTTATCTGCACTGAAGAGACAACTGGAGCTGTGAGCCCTTGCTCATGGGCCACTCAGAAGAAACTTGTAGCTTGTAAAATATTGCTGCAGGCCATGTTGACAGGGAGAGCAAGGAATGAGGTTGCTTGTACCACACTACTTGCTTGATATTTTGCCTATGGGACAGCAAAGGCTGGAACCCAGTGAACTACAGAGTAAACCCTAGTCTACATAGTCTGTACTAGATCTAATTTCTTCTTTTTGAGTGGGATTCTCTGCACCACTGGAACTACATCTGCAGCACTAACAAATTGGACTGTTGACACTGTGGAGATAGCAGCATATTCCCACAAGCTGTAATACATATCAAGAGCTCCAAATGATTTTACAGCTTGATCCCAGGAAGACTTGCTGGCAAGACAAATCATGTGCAGAAATCACTGTTACACAGCACAGTCAGGAGAAGCTGCAGTCCTAACAGAGATGTAATGCTGCTGGCATGCTCTTACTTCCTCTGAGAAAATGATAGAAACCCTTTTGCAAGTCTGAGTCTGGAGGGATTATCTGCATCTCCACCAGTTTTGGTAGTAGTGCCACAGTTGTTTCACAGGGTGATGTGACTCAGGCATGGCAAAGTAACAGAGGAGACTCCAGCACTGGGGAAAGGCAGAGTCCTACTTAATTCCATAGCCTCTAGAAACACTTCCTCAGCTACAAGCAGTCCTTTCCAGCCCACCTGCCAATTCCAACAACAGCAGCTCTGCATGTTCCCTCCAGACTTACTGCTACATGTGCTGGCCAAACCTGCATACAACCCAGGCTGAGCAACTAGGGGAATAACAAGCAGGGGAGTATTGCACCCATGAGGGATCACTCCACTTCCACAGAACGCTCTGTGGTAAATGCAGGAACACAAACCACAGCATGCAGAGCAAGCCATCTCAGCCTGAGGGGTGTTTCAACAGCAATATCTGTTTCTGCAGGAGGAGATCTGCCAGCAGAGCTCTGGGTATCTCTTTACCCTTGCCACAGAAACATGTAAACAAAACATACCCAAGCAACGCAGGTAATCTGCAGCAAGCATCATCTGCAGTCATTCTGCAAAGACTTGTATACTTTGCAAATTTCTCTAAAGTTTGCATCTTAAAAAAATAATACATGAGCTGATAATTTTAAAGCTGAAACCAAAAACATTAGTATCTATGACTTTTATAGGTATCTGGTTCAGCTTTATTTTTTTAAGGAAATCTCTACTACTAGACAATGAACAAGAATTCTTAAAAACTGGTGTTCAGACATGAATCTCAGGTCAAGATGAGAAAGGATCCCTGTTTTATAATACAGAAAATCACGTGAACCTGGCATTTCCCCCTCTTCCAGGCCAGGTTTATGCTTTCCTACTGTTCAAGGTAGGCAGCCCACACACGAGTGACTCAGCCTTTGCTTTACTTCCTCTGCAGGCTCAATTCTGCTTTCTCTCTCCTTCCTGTACCTATTGTACCCCACCCCTGGAAGCAGAGAATTACAGTATTGTAAAAGGCTTTGGCACCCACACAAGCAGGTTCTGCTCAGCAAAGGACCTGTAGCAGTTTGAACCTGAGCAGTCAGCTGCCAGTTTAGCTAATTGTGCTCAGTGGGAGTACCCATTGAAGTGCCCCTTTCAGACAGATGAAAAGCTTCAATGGTGTACTGTACTTTTAAGGAACCTGGGATTAAACCCAAACACGTAATTTCTGCTAGTTTAGACTATGACTATTAATAGGAGCTTGGTTCTGGTTTCGTTTCAGTGCTGGAGGCAGGACTCAGTTACTTACACAGACTTCTGTTGCCATTTGAAGTTAGTTCAAGAACCCCAAGACAGCTGCAGCCTCAATGAAGCAGGATTCCAGACCTTCAATTGTGGCCTTCTGGAGCAGCAGCAGGGGGCCACACAATCTCAAAGACACTTTCTTGTGCTCCTACCCTCATTCTTCAATACTTATTTTGATGAATTGGTTTAAGGGCTAATACAAACATGTTACAGGGCTGCACATTATTTCAAGCCAGCAGCTAGCAGTCCAGTGGCTTTGCTCTGGAGCCCCCCACCCTTGCACTAGGCAACACACCTGCATGTTTAAAACAAGGCTGATAGACTTCTATCACCTGCTCATTTTAAACAGTTGCTTGAACCTGCTTCTGGGAGAAACACAGTAGGGTTACTTTTTTCCACCTTAGTCAGTATGCGGGTCTAACCTGTGTAGAATAACCATTCTCATAGCAGGCTGTTCCAATGCAAGCTGGTGACACAGTTTCAACATTAAAATAAATTTATTTCAAACTCAAACAACTTTAAAAACATTAATAATATTAAGCAGAAACAGTTATAAAACACAACATGCACGTAACATAAAACATGCTTGATATCACTGCAAAAAACCCCAAACCAATCAAACAACACTTTTAGAAAAACTATTCTGCAACAACAAATGTTGCAGTAAAAATTGTGCCCTAACCAGCAAAAAAAAAAAAACCCACAGAAATATTTATGCTTTTACCACATCATTTACTCTTGCCAGCTCATGCACTCATACAGCTTATTGTTGGTCCGTGGTAGACTTGATTCTGCTATTTTATGTCTTGTTAAAAAACCCAATTAGTTTCACACAGGTTGGAGCCAACTTCCTTTTTCTTACTGGAAAGGACAATACAGTTATTTTTGAAAAAGAAACTGAAAATTTTAATTGGCATTTTTCTCATTTTGTCTAACTAGGTTTGTCTGAACTTCTTGCCTCTCCCAGAGCTTGGGTACTTATGTCAGATGAGGCAGACAGTGCCCTTTTCAACAGAAGAGATCCAACTAAGCCCTGTGAGGAAGAAAAATCCTACTAGTTTAACTCTTAAAAGTGGGATTAGACGAGAGTGGGGAAACATCCTACTCTAGCCCCTTGAATGAAAATTGCACTGGGACTCAACAGGATTCCCCAACCCCAACATCCAGGTTCCAAGATAAGTATCACTAAACATCACATTTGAAATAAAGAGTCCTGTACATAGCTGTCTGCTGCTACCCCAGCTAGAGAAAGCTGCTCTGTAATGTTGCAGTTTGTGAAGTGCTAGGGGACCATCATGTACAGATAAGCAGGCTGTTCTCACCACCAGTTTGCAGGTTGGGACAAGCCAACAGTCTCTCAGCAGAGACTGTAGAAAGGCAAGATCTGAACTAGGTGGGAACAGCCCCAGAGACACCATCCTGAATGACAGGCTCATTAGCAGCTTTGGAAACCAAAGTTTCCACATGAGATATGAGCAACTCTACCCCACTGTCTCTCCTCTTCTCCTAACTGCCCTGTGTACATAGGAGGGCAGCAGGCAAGGGAAGGGATAGTCAGGTGCTAACCCATCCAGGAGGAGTTCCTGAGAAACTAGATCAAGTAATCTGAAATAATTTGAAATAGCTTTTTGGTAAGGGAGTAAAGGATGCAGACAAAGAATTATCAGCAGTTATCTGACTTGATGCAGCAACAGAAATAAGCAAGACAGCAGGTGAGATTCTGGGCCACAACAGGTTATTTCTAACAGAAACATGCCAAAGTACAGGGCTTTCTCCAGCAAAGCTCTGCTGCGAGACACACAAGGCAAGAATGAGATCTGCTAAAGAGGCAGTAAAGGAAGGTGAGACCTCAACAACAAACACAGACCTTTAGCACCTCTGCTACTCATGGCTGTGGCATTGCACACTGCCCTCAATGAACGAGGTTTCATCCTATCCACACATAAAACACCTTTGCCGAGGGTTACCTATGAACAGACAGGCACCTTTAAACAGAAAACTAGCCCAAGGCAACAGGGTACTGAGCCACTTCAGTGGTTAAAACAGGAATAGGGGAGGAGGGACAAGAGAAAGGAATAGAATCTCCATCCCTGAGTCAAGACCCTAGAAACCTCATGAGAGATAGGAGCAAAAAATACTTAGACCCAAGACTCATAACCACTCTGGGTCCCCATGGGATGCCAAGGGACCTGGCATTGATTCTATATGGGAGAGCTCGAGAATGATATGACACTGTCAGAGGTGTTCTGGAAGCTGCAAGTGTCTTCTGACTCCTGGCTGACATAATCCATATTGGCAGAGTAGCCATGATAGAAGTTCATTTGCTGGTTTAATAAACCCATGGCTTGCTGGGTATTGCAGCTTGCACTATCTTTTCCAAAGATCCCATCACCCTCCACAGCCATATATGAGTACAGGTTCTGCCCATTCCCATAAATTTGTCCACTGCTGTAAGCCTGGTGCATGTTGGCCACAGCCTGAAGGTTTCTGCTGGCACCGATAGGGAAGACCTGATGAAATGTGGGCGTTCTATCCAGGTATGCAGCCTGATGAACCCTTTTCTAGAGAGAAAAAGAAGGTTGTTCAGTAATGCAGAGCACAACATTAACAGCCCATTCTTTTAGATGGGTCCTCCTTTCTCCCCCAGCCCCTCCTCCAAGCCAAACAATAGCACCTTTTTCATACTCATTGTCCTCCCTACAGACCAGTAATAGCAGAGATGACACAATCTTAAATTTGTTATCTCCAGTTCAACATGTCTAGGAGCACCATGCTGGGGAGAACACCAGCAGTAATAGCCTTGCTGGCCCTCTTAGGTTATTTCATTTTCTCTCTCTCAACAGGAAGATAAGTGGGTCAGAAATGAAGCCCTTTCAGTGCCAGGCCAAGCTTAAAATGGATGCCACTGTAGGCCCTATTATGAGAAATAAAACTGGCTTGGTAATATTGAGTCCTGTGTGTCGTTTGAATTAGCAGTTTGGACATTATGCACTTCTCACAGACTGGAGGAACCATGACTTGAGAGGAAGAGGCTCAGGAGTAACCTCATTGCTCTCTACAACTACCTGAAAGGGGGTTGCAGAGAGGTGGGGGTTGGTCTCTTCTGCCATGCCTGCAGTGACAGGACTAGAGGAAATGGTCATAAGATGAGGCAGGGGAGATTCAGATTAGATATTAGGAAAAAAATTTCCCTGTTATGGTGATCAGGCACTGGAATAGACTGCCCAGGGAGGTGGTGGAATCACCATCCCTGGAAGTGTTTAAGATGCATCTGGATCTAACACTGGAGGATTTGGTTTAGGGTTTACAACAGAGTGGCAGGCTAATGGCTGGGCTTGATCTTTAGAGTTCTCCTCCAACCTTGATGATTCTTATGACTGGTGGTGATGTGGAAATTTACTCACCTTTGATAGGTACATCCCTTTTTCCACCCATTGGCTCTCCTTTTGGCAGCGTTTAAATTTCATCCGTTGATTCTGAAACCATGTTTTCACCTAAAAATTGTGGTGAAAGGACATAAGAAATTAGAAGTTAATTGTCAGAGCTTAAAATGCATCCTAAAGATTTTTTCCTTCTACTGCGATCCTGTTTCTACTTAGCGTCGAATACTGTACATAATTTAAGCAGTTAACAATATGCAGCAGACACAAGTAGCTGTGAAATCACAGAGCTGAGATATAAAAGCTAACACTCCTAACCCCTCAGATCACCACAGGACCTTTCATGACTTAATAAACCCTGCCCAAAAAACAGGCCAAGACAACTGCAGATACACCGCTTGTACAGAAGCATCATCTCACTGCTGTGCCAAGATCAGTGCTCAGGATCTCAGAAGTAAATTTTTCCTTCAGTCAGACACAAGTAGCCGGTTGGTCAAGGACCCACTCTAGGGAGAGACCCAGGTGCCACTCTTAGAAAGGTAACTTGCATAGCAGTGCAAGTATCTGAGTTTTTACATTCAGAAACAACACATGTCCATACAGAACAGTAACCTGATTCTGCATAGCCCTGCTTTGTTGCCCTACATGCCCTTTCAAACATCTGCACGGAGTGGGTGGATAGTGCTGCAACCGAACATAAGAGGAAGACTGAGTCATAAGTTTTCGCACCCTCTGCTCTCTGAGGTAAGCAATAGCATAAACAAGATCATAAGAGAAACTTATCTCTGGGGTCTACGAAGAAAAAAAAAAACCACCACCCAACACTTGCTCACAAAGATCACTTCACACCAGGGATGCAACTCAGCTGCTCAGAGCAAGACGTTCACCTGCTTGTAGGTGAGCTCAAGGGCAGCAGACAGCTCCCGAATCTGCTGGGGGCTGAGGTACTTCTGGCTTTGGAACCACAAGTGTAGGACTTTCAGCTGCTCCTGTGAGAAGGCTGTGCGGCTCTTGCCCATCTTCGCACCCTTGCCTGGCGCATTGACGTTTTGCAAAGGGGGATGGGGAGATGGGCTCGCTGCTGCGGTGGGGCTAGTGGCAGAGTCGGGGACGAAGTACTGGATAAACGTCCCAGAGCTGGAGGAAGCTGGAGAGTCATCTGAGGAGAAAAGAAAATTGGAGTGAACATAATCAGGCCGGGAAGCCTCAAAACCTTACAAGTCCGGCTTTTCGAGAGAATTTAAGATCGCGGGTACCCCGGGGACTTGCAGGGGCTCCGCTGCTGTAGGGAGCGCAGCGCGGGGAAGCGGCACAGGCGGCCTGGGGGCAGCGGAACGCAGACCTTTCCCTGCCCGCACC